CGAATTTTCAGCAATGTAAATCTATATTTTATATTCTAGTTCAGATTGCTTCACGAGAAATAAAAATGTTAATTTAATCATGGAAAGATAAAATATATTTATTTTGAAATAAATCTCATTACAATAAACATGATCTATATTCCTTAGAGCTTTATGTTATACATTTTTGGAAAAAATTTTACTTTATTACTGCGAAGAGTATTAAATCGTGCTGTTATTTGCTTCTTTGCGTTCAGAGATTTAAAATCATATTATTGTCCTCTCTAATGCATATAAAGAATTTTAAATTGTATTATCTTCTCAAAGGCTTCTTCGAATTTTCAGCAATGTAAATCTATATTTTATATTCTAGTTCAGATTGCTTCACGAGAAATAAAAATGTTAATTTAATCATGGAAAGATAAAATATATTTATTTTGAAATAAAACTATAATTTTATGCATTAAATTTCCATCATAACCGATGATTCTTTTACCATTTGGATTTCATAATTTAATACAATTTTAAACTCAATATGTACTTTTACATACGTAGACACTAACTTTTTATGTGCAATTTCTGTTTACATGTGTAAGATTCTTGGATATATTGGCTACTCTTAAATATATATTCTTGGCTTTAAGAATAATATATTTCCGATGGATCTTTCAGAAATACAATAAAAAACTAATGTATTGTAAATTACCGGTAATCTTTTCAAAAATTCGAATCAGATTTTTTTTATTTTTATCGTTTTTGATGGAATCGCATCATTTTGAATAGATTCATTGTTTTAGAAATGTGTTTTTGGCAACAATTTTTCATTCATTGCTTTGTATACTGGACCGTTGACTGTTTTCTTTGGAAAATATGAGATTTATTGCTTATTTCATTGTAATTGTTTCATATTATGTTTTAATTATATAAAAGTTTTGCATGATTTTGTTTTAGGAAACAAAGTTCTTAACTTCTTTTATACCATTTGAATTTTTAAAATTTTGCAACGGGAAGTTGGTTAATTTATTTATTAGGATAATTAACATTTATATTAAGGGATATTGCGTATTTCTTTGTAATTTTTTTAATATGTGATACAATTTTATTGACTTTTTTTTTGGTAAAGTTATTGTGTAGAGTAAACTTCTGTGCAGGCTTTAAATTTAATGTTTGGTGTTTGCTCCCTTTACGCATTTTTACCGTACATTTAAAACCCAGACGAGGGCTGGCTGCATAGCGGCTTAGTACCATTTAACGCAAAAATAACACTAATAAAATCGCATTTAAAAAAAAAAAAAAAAAACTTAAAAGTAGAAAAAGTCTGTAAATTGTTGAGCCTCTCAAAACCTGTGTTCTGTTTCTATCAGTTTAGGATTGACAAACGGGTTTGGATGCATGAGAGATTTTGTAGCTTCCCCTCCCTCCCCCCGTATAATGTTCATACGAAAGAATTCTTGCATAAGAAAGTCCTTAACAAAACATTCCGTTTAAGCATACAGTAATCCCAGATTTTGCCATATTCTAAATAGCTCAATAGAATCTATTCAGTCTTGGGGGATTCACAATAGAATCCTATTTATCCACACTAAATGGGACCAAATGCATTTTCGACAATATTGTGAGGGTAATAACTCATAATCAGGCCTGGATTCAAAACAATTTGAAATCCAGTTCACTCTGTTCAGAGGGATACACTATAGAATGCTAAAGGGATCGGAAGCATTCGGATAATATTTGTGAAGGTAATAACCTATCATTAGGCTTGTATTCGAAAGGAATTGCTCATTTATACTCAACGTTTTCGACAACAGTATTATTTCTAAATGCCCTTTGCATAACATGAACTTCAAAATTTCCCTTTTATACAGTTTTTGTGTAATGTATTACGTAAGGAGATACAAATACGCATATTTTGCGTACAAACAAAAATATATAAATATTTGTCTTTATTACAACAATCACTCAACTACTTTACAAATGTCCAGCAGATAAATTGAATGTAAGTATGATGAAACGTAATAATATTCTAATTTAAATGCATTGTTGTTTACACAAGAGAATGCGACACATAAATTGTATGACATTAAAAATCTTAAATATCCCACAAATAACAATATTGTTTTTAGTTTCGTAATGCTGTTTCTTACATAATATAGCATCGCAGTAGTCCATTGATACTTTCAGAGTAGAACAGCAAAAATTCGCGTAACGTGCGAGAGTTTATTTGAATGAAGGCAATTATGAAATATTTTTGCATTATTTGGCACTTTATTCTGCTTATTATTTTCATTTCAATCATCTCTCAGGTACTGAAAATATACCATATAATGACATGAGGTATTATTCTAAGCAAGTAACGTATTTCCTTGCTTCATCCACCTCATTGAATTGTTTTTTATCTGATAAATTGCTTTTTGAGAGCTTTCTTATTCATGGAAATTGAAAAAGGTCACACTGATTGAGAATTTTTGGTGAGCAGCATGAGTGACACACATGCGTGATGTTGATTTGGCTCAAGAACTGAGAAAATTTCTTCAGGAATTTGATGAATGGTCTTCCAATTACATTAGTTGAACTTTTTGAATGTTTTTCTCGTTAATGCTCGTCGATGGATGTCCACGTCATAGTATACGTGACGTCATAGTCCGCATTATGTATCTGATATGTCGCCATTTTAGAATCTGGCAATCTAGTACACCTGTGTTTTACTCAAAACATCATAAATTGAAGGTCTGCTGAAACATAACAGTGTTCTCAACTGCTGTTTCTCAACAGCAAACAAAATCATCCACACGTTGTTTGTTTCTTGAGGACGCACAGTGTAAAAAGGAATGGATGCTAGGGCAGGAACACATACACATCAACTCCATACAATAACTTATCAAATCAAATGGATGCCCGCTAATATGGAGCATTTTTAGCAAACATACTAGCAGGCCTGATTTCAGGATTCGTAAGTACAAAATCATCCTTTACTCTTTTGAGATTTCTGTCATTTTAGAATATTATTACGTACGCATATTTTTGTCACATAACGTATTATACTTTTTTAAATTTTTTAAATAACATACGTATATTTTCTTTGCCATATTGTTTGGGTTAGATTGTTACAATAAATGGTTAAGTACATGTATAATATCTTTTCGTACAGTATAATAACTTGTTCATATTATAAAATATGAAATTGTCTCTACATATATAGATGACCGAAAAAAACATTTGATTTGAAATATCTTGTAAAGAATGCTCCTGAACTCTCTACTAGAAAGACCTATGATGCTCTTGACTAGAGAGAACGTCGTTAGCAAACTCCTCACACTACGAGTACTATAATTCATTTTAACACCTTATTTAAAGAACTGTGAATGGCAACGACTTAACTGAGAATTACGCATGCGTAAAGAGAAGAGACCTTCTGTAAGACGCTGTCAGAAAGAGGTTTTTTTTTTTTTTTTTTTTTTTTTTTTTTTCGGGGGGGGTGAGCTCTGCCAGCGAGCTGAGGTGTGGAGATTTAATTTGTCCAGTGATGACGAATGCTATCTTCGTTAACGTCTCTGATCGTGTCACCAACTCGGATATGTACTCAGGTTTTCTAAATGTATTAATTAAATGTTGTATCTGTGGTATGTGCTGTAATTAAAGTGATGCATCACCAATACCAGTGTTGATTCCGTTCCCACTTTGAAGCATCCACGACGTCACAATCTGAAGATAACTTCATTTTTCACTGATTTAGGGATATTTTCAGATACATACTGAGTCTATCCGAATTAAGTTAGTTTGATTATTTTTAATTAATACGTGGTTAACAGAACTGTACATTAAATTACTACTTTTAGTGTTAGGATCCAAAATCTTCTCAACATACTTTGCAGGCGTAGTTCGTAGACATTTAGAATTATCAATTTGAATATTAATCCAGAAATACAGTGAAAAAAAGAATAGTGAACTTTCGTGTTTGTTACTGTTTAAGAGTGAGAAAAGTTAAGCTCCTGAATCTGAGATAAGACTTGTGGCTTATAGAGAAATCGAGTTATCCTTCCGATAAATCTGCGCTCGTGTTAGACAAAATCAAGCAATTAATACTCTTAATTTCACTTAGTGTGATCGCGTTTTTCTGTGACTATTTTGGTAACGTTGACCAGAAGCTAACATAAAGCTTCTGGTCAACGTTACCAAAAGTGATAAAGTTCATAAAGTGATAAGAAAAATATCCTTCAAACTGTCATTAGACTTAAATCGAATATAACTAGAATTATCTGGATTTATTACTCAAAAGTTCATTTATAAACTGTTCATATTCATAATGCATGTGGAAATGCGTTTCTCAAAGCGACAGGCAGATGTTTCTTCTGTTATCATCATATTCAAATGTAATTAATTAAGCATGATGATTATGATACTTTTCAACACTTTTTCCCCAGATGCCTAAGCGTCATCATACTTAAATGTAATTAATAAGAAAGAACGGCTTTTCAACAATGCTGTATGTTAATTATACTAATAATTTTTGGTAAAGCAATTTACGTACATCCTCATAAGAGCTAGAAAATAATACAAATCTTTTGGACTTCAGTTTCTTATATTTAAACAGAAAAGATAAATAAAGATAAAAAAATTCTCATCTTATTCTTTTTCTATATTCAGCAACGTTTCGTAGTATAAGAACTATGCGAATGTTTTTCCGAGCACGCTTTTCCTATACAAATAACAGAAAAAGAGTATTAGAAAAACGCAGATGGAAGATTTTGCCTCTAGGTTTAAAAAAAAAAGAAAAGAAAAGAAAAAGATATTTCCCATTTGAATAAATAAGCTATCAAAATGCTCTGAAGATACATATTGTGTTTTCAAGCAAAAATATGATATTACATTTTATAAGAATGCTGCGTGAAATATGATGCATTTTTTCATTTTATTTTATCAAAACTTACTACATTGTAAATTTTTACTTTGTTGACTTTAAACTACGTAAAAGTTTTCAGAAATATAAACACATTTTATTTATCTTCTTTTGTTTTTAACAGGCATACTTGATACAAACAGCGATCTTAAAACCAGGATTGAGCAAAGAACTATGCCTCAGATCAGAACTTTCCATGTACCCGTAAAAGGAGGATACAGTAAGATATAAATTCCTTATAATTGTAAAGTAGCGTTGTCTGTAATTTGCGCATTATATCTGTCTGTCACTTGAGCAAATATTTAACTTCGCCTAAATTTAATTCATAAATGTATAATATTAGTTATGATTTCTTTACTTATATTGTCTAAAACATTTTGACAGAATTTCTATGTCTAAATCTCAGCTCATTTTTTCTCATGTATGAAACATTGTTTAAAAATATATGAATATCCACTTCACTTTAAAAATATATGAATATACACTTCACTTTAAAAATATACGAATATCCACTTTCTGAACTGAAATCAATTATCTTCCGAAAACAAATTTCTGAACTGTGTCGTAAAATATTATTCTTATGCCTTTGCCCTAAACATTACATTTTAATGACATCTTTTCTTTAGCCCAAAAGGGGTTATTAGTCTCGCAATGGAATTTTGCGTTGGTTCCCCATAAAAGGCGTATCACTTTTCAAATTGTTGCCAACAAATGTTATCAACATGTATTATTTTTAAAGAAATTAAATAATAAAGAACCTGCATTTATGTATGTATGTTCCTCGCTTTGTAAAAAATACTTTAGAACCAACAAATTCTGAATAACGTAGTTTTTCCAAACATATGCAGCAGGAAGCCCGAAATGGAACTTGTTTTATGGTTTTTTATTTCATATTTTGTAAACTTTTAATGAATTTTCGATTAACAGACTCGTAGATTCCAAAGCTAGTAGTGGCAACACCATTCAAAAAAACAAAAAAACAAAAAAACAAAAAAAAACATTTTTATATGCAACGCGCCAAACTGTTGCCATTCGGAGAAACGTGAGATATATATCTTTCAATTTTAATTAACAAATTAAGCTCCGTGAAAGGAATGTATTGCTGCGGCCAGAAATGAAATATATTTATCTTCCACACAGAAGCACAATGGCAGTTAGTAAAGTTTAAAATACTTTTAAATGTAATTTGGAAGATTAGTGAGTAATAAACAGTGATTTTAAAGGAATAAACACACTTCTTAAGATTATATTTTTCTGCCTTTTAATGATATTGATTCAAAAAAACATGAAAATCGTGACATATCCATTTAAAAATATTCAATATTTTTATGAAATTACACTAGCTATACTTATTAAAATCATTATACCTTTTTCCTTTTTTGTGATAACTATTTTAGGTGGCCGCTCTTGTGAGCGGTTAGTTATTAAAGAAATAATATACCGGATATAAATACATGTATGGCACCTTCAACCACTATATCGGAAATTCTGAAGGTATGCTGGATTTAAATATTTTGTGATTTTGTTATTGAATTAAATTTTATGTGATGCAAGTGCAAAGAACGTGATATTTAATAAATAATGCTAACCCATAAAATGTGAATAATAAAACGACAAAACAAATTGTTTGGTAGCTATCTTGCTAAGGAAACTGACTTTTGATATGATGCACTGAGAAAAGACTGAAAAAAATGCAAAAATGTATGCCAAAATTTCATACTGCATCACGAAGTTTTTTATTTTGTTTTTGTGGCGTAAGTGCGAAGTAAACGATGCTTAAGGAAGCTAAAATAATAACGCGTAATTTAATGCCACCCTGTTACCAATATCGTTAGCATCACGGGCGAATCCCAAAGAAAACATAGAAATCTGTAAATGTATTGAGTCTTTGCATCATGGGGCCACTTAAAAATCCTTCCAGCCGGGATCAGTAAAATATGCAATATTTGTGTCGTCAGTAAAATAAACAGTATTTGAATTACTTAGTATGAAACCAATAAGGAAATGGTATCAACTGAAATGCCTCCTTAAGAACTTGTTTCGCATTGCATAGTTGGTTTACTGAAATGAACAGAACCCAATTATCCAGATTTTTCAGGTATCCAGATGAGGTGCAGATCTACTGCACGAAGCAGTTTTTGAAGAAACCTCAACGTCTGGTGTATTTCAAAGCATACCGGTGTCTAATTTTTTAAGAAAAAACAATTAATATGCAAAGCAAAATAAGACAGGAAAACAAAACAAAATTTTAAGGTTTCTTAGGCTTGCTGATTCTTGCTAAGGTTTTATTAGGTTTGTTAAGGCTAGCTGAGCTCGCAATCTACAAATCTGCTCTTTCACTTCTGCTAAACGTTTTCGTAAAGCTTTATTATTAAGTATCGTTTTCTTCTCACTTATCCCATTGTAAAAATAAATGGTGTGATTGTATAGTGGTGCTAAATGTAAAAATGAAATAGAAGTAAGTGTAGTGAATTAGAGTTATTTGAGCACCAAAACTAGTCGCTTGACATTTTTTGAAATAAAGGATTAGCAAATGTAATTCAAATGAATTGCTTACTTAGTAAATTGCGTTGTATAGCAATAACCCATAAATACTTACTAACGTGCAGATCAAAATGTGTGATCTAGAAAGAAATATGAAATCAAAGTATGACAACTGTATGTTACCAAATCAATTAAATTTTATTCTTCATCTTTGATATTGAAATAAACATTAATATAAATAAAAATTATCAACCAGACAGACGAATATGTCAGATTCTGAATATCAAGCACGAGTGATGCGCATCACCAGAATTAACGTTGCACTCAGATAAAAAGTCAATCTTTCTCCATCCGCTCGAAACAAAGTCATAGTGTATCAAAAGGAACAATCAAATTTTGATGGCAGTCATTAAGCGTACTTGATAAACCGTAGTATTTCTGCTTTTTCTTCTTTAGATCAGGAAGTTTCAGATTTCACAAACACGTGCTGCGCGAAGATTTCTCAAAAGGAGGAAGAAGCCGAACAAAAATTATTTTCTGCGATAATGGTACAGGGAAACAGGAGTAATTATTTTCTTGAATCTTCATGTAAAAATTTCACTTGGATAAAGGATTTTCATGTATTAGCAGACAGCATCGAATTGAAAAAACGCAAAAAAAAAGCAGGAAAATTGGCACATCGCATCGGCCAGGGAGAGGACAGACTGAAGCCGTCCTACACCTCTCAGACCCCAGCAGCCAGAAGAAGGAGAAACCGGTTGTTGCAATCTTTTTCGTGTTGTCCTTGAGCGGTTGCGGTTAGCACACTTGAAACTGAATAATGTGGAGGCTTGTCTGCACACCCATATACAATTTAACCGAAAAAGTTTAAAAGCAGCAAACAGTATATGGTTAAATTTTCTGATGCAGTGTTAAGTACTGCCATACATTTGTTTCTATATTTTTCAGTCCTTTCTCAGTTCATCATAACAGTGTTCAGTTTTCTTAGTAAGATGACTTGCATAACTTTTTTTTGTTTTTTCATTATTAATGTCTTGTGAGTAAACTATATTTATTAAATATCACGTTCTTACGCCACATAAAACTCGATTCAACAGAGAAATCACAAAATATTTAAAAACTGCATACTTTTGAATTATCGATAGACAGTCTCACGAGCTAGAGATAAAATATTTTATTCACCACTGTGTTGCCACTGCTCGATTTCAAACCCTTGAATTTGTAAATTAAAAATTCATTAAAGTTTTACAAAATATGAAATAAATAATAAAAGTATATACATAATTCTATGAAAATAATGAATATTTTTAATTATATATTTAATTAAATACATTTTTAGTACTTAAAGCAATCCGATACAAAAGCTAGTGCGAATATGCTTAAGTACTGAGTTTGTTCTTTTCGAATAGGTTAGTTTATTAATCCACAACAGATAGATTCAATTTTAAAGATAAATATCTCAGATTATGCCGAATGGCAACAGACTCGAATGAAAAGTGAAACGAAGCATTTATAGTGATTCGACGCAAAACCTCTTTTCGAGATTAATAGCCCCTTTTTGGATTATTAAAAATTTAATCTTGAAATAGCACAAAATATCAAATTAATGAAGCAGATGATTATCTTATAGATATGTTATACACGTCAGTTTAAGGTATGAATAAGTGCAAATGTTATTTGTGCATATTCTATCACGAAAAAATTATTGAGTTTACTTTCTGATTATTCTTTGCTGTCTGCAGAATAATTTATTCTTCTGGTAACGATAAATCCATACTTACCCGTGAAATGCATTCACTTTTTTTGTTTAATTTAATGCTTAAACTAAGGAGTATATGTTTAACAGATTATTAAAATTTAAATTAATTGGTATATTATTTCTAAGATTTTTTATCAGCTTTTAATGTACAATCAAACCTGTTTTTATAAGTTTCTTTTCTGTGCGGTTCTTTTTTTTTTTTTTTTTTTTTTTTTTTTTTTTTTTTTTCAGTTTTTTTACGTGGCATATAAAAAAAAGTCCATCAAAATGCTTAAAAAAAATAATTTTAATTTCAGATTTTATATTACGCCCTAAGAGGTGTTTTTTAACGTTTTGTGTATTACCTTTATTTATTAAATATCAGGTTGTTTGCACTTAAACCGTAAAATTAAATTCAGCAGCAATATCACAAAACAATTTAAAAAGAGAATATCTTTAGAATTTCCATTGCACAGTCTCGCAAGCTGTAGATAATTCCCCCCCCCCCCGCACAGTGTTGCCATTGCTCGCTTTGATATCGTTGAGTTTGTTAATCCAAAAATTCGTTAATATTTCACAAAATATGAAATAGATAATAAAACAAATTCCAAATTAAAAATGTGGGCTTCCAGCTGCCCATATTTGAGTGGAGGACTACGTTAGTCAAAATTTTATGGCCCTAGGTTTCATTGTTTTTTTACAATGCGAGAAACATACATACATTCATGCAGATTCTTCATTATTTAATTTCTTTAAATATAATACAGGGCTCTAATATTTGTTGGCAACAATTTGAAAAGTGAAACGCCGTTTACAGTGAACTAATTCAAAATGCCAAAACGAAATTAATAGCCCTTCCTGTCAAATTACTCCTTTGGGCTAAAAAAAAATTTAAAAGAAAGCAACAAATGGAAAGTGTCAAAATAATATGCAGTTTAAAAGAAACCAACAGATGACTCAGCGGACATTTCATCATAACATAACAAAAAATCGGTGATGAAGCTTTTAATTTTTTTAATTGAAATTGGTGTTGAAGAAATGATTCAAAAAGAATTCGTAAATGACAGTAACATTATAAATTAAGTAACAGATCCTGCTGATGACTAGGAAGAACCCGATTCTATGGTTTAAAATAAAACCTATGCAGGACTTCAGCTTGGGAGCTAATTGGAAAGCCATTAACTTGCAGTCGATATCAATTCTGAAAGAACTTGAAAATCCCAGAACGAGCTTCGATCTTGTATGTCGATTTACCGCGACATTTATAAGCAGTTAACCAGACAAGCATCGTTGCAAAATCTAATCACCCGCTGCATTGTATCACCAAAAATGTCAACTCTGAACAAGTGCAAGGTAGGATCTTTAAGTGACGAAAGTGATTTTGAACGAGCTCTCCAATCCAAGAAAATCCACCTTCTTGACTATAAAGGATAATTTTTATATGTATATATTGGAATTTTCGTGCATTTCATATTTAATGTATAAGCAAGTAAAACACTTAAAAATGTTCCCGTGTTTGAAAAACCAATTTCTAACTGAATTATGACGTTCTGAGTTATGCTGGATTTTACATGTGGTGTCTATTTACCACATAACTTTTTAGTGTGTGGTGTAGTGGTTCTGCAAGCTGGGCCCGGTATTCCAGAGATCCGTGGTTCGATTCCCGACGAAGGCGGTTGCTAATTTTTCCTCTCTCCGGCTTTTCCAATTAACCTAATGTCTCTACAGTGGCGCCCGAACTAAAAGGATGTTGGATGATGATTCTCCGCACCCAGGATTTAGCGACTAGGTCCCCTAAAATCCCCAGTCGCCCTTTAAAAAGAGGAGTATGTAAGGTATTGCTCCCGCTTTCCTAGCGTGCCTTCGTGGTGTAGTGGTTCTGCACGCTTGGCCGGTATTCCAGAGTTCCGTGGTTCGATTCCCGGCAAAGGCGGTTGCTAATGTTTCATAGTTTTAGGCTTTTCCAATTGACGTAATGTCTCTACAGTGCTTGAAATTATTTTTGATTTGTTGCCTATACAAACTACTTGACATAACTATACTTGTTGCCCTGTATTTTACTACTCCGAATATCATTACTTTTGTCTGGCAGTTTTCCCCTCTTACTTTCCCTCCTCAATGATTAATAATTCATAACTGAGTTAATTAATGTTGAAACTGAAACTTTCATTCATTTGTGTTCTGTAATAAATTTTTTTGTTCAAGTCGAATTGTAGTCACTCTGTTATATTCGCAAGTATTAAAGCACATCTGCCTAATTTTCATAATTGGATTTCTTTAAAAAATGAACATGAGAAAAGATAACATATAAAACGCTGAGAAATCTATACCAAATTACCTCTAATTTCGAAAAGAACATGATTATAAGACACTCATCTAAATCCTAAGTGCTGTAATAAGTAAATAGTGTTCAAAGAATCTTTCCCCGTTTATATTCCCTCTTACAAAGGCATAATTAATATAAACATTAAATTTGAAAATCATATTCAATGCAAATTCATGAAAGTATTTTACATTTTATTACTACGAGTTTCATAAATTATTAACTGAAATATATTTTTCTGCATAATCTAACACTCAGTAACGCGATTTTACGATTAGAGAGTGTTATCAGAGAATATTTACTGTCAGAAATCATTTTAAAATTCATTAGTTATGTAATTTATGCATTTCTCTTGCAGAAGCTCAAGTACGATTGCTTCTTCCACCTGACTTGGCTGATAATGATGCGTTATATTATCCACTTATAGTCTTCGTGTAAGTGATTTTATTCCTTTGTTCAGAAATGAAATTTATTTTTTTAAACATGCAATGCCGTAACGCGACAACTAATTGAAAACGAAAAACAATTTTGGTGTAGTTTTTTATGAGAAACTGCTTTGTGCTGTTAATTTTGATAAACTGTACTTACATATGTGATTTTGAAAATATTGTAGGGGTTATTTTAATTTCCTAATAGTCATTTTTAATTTTGACCCTTGTAGAGTTCCTCACTTTGTAATTCTAAATTACTGTTGGAAGTGAAGAATCTTAAGAACTGATAAGCGAATAATCGCTTGAGTTCGTGTGACAGGACACAAAAAGATAGAAGGGTAAACTAGCTCTTTATTGTTCCAACTAAAGTTTAACAAAACTCCGTCTTGGAGTGCACAATAAAGCCGACACTTCGCCTTGAACTTAAGAGACTAAAAATTAACCTAAACTAATCTAAACTAAAGAGGTATAGCCGAAGCTATCAAAATTCGAACAGAGTTGTCCCCTTGACGTTAATAGACTGCGAAGCTATCAAGGGCCTAAAGTACGGCCGAGCGTAATAATAGCTTACGAGAGAGTAGCCTAAAAAAGGTGGCCGCGCGCAGACAAAATACCTGGTATCTCTCTCCCTAAGACCGAATATTTATGTAAATTAGGACTTTTCATCTGAAATCTCTAAATACCATAACGATGTTGTAGCCAGCACACGTGACAACAGTCACGCCCCCTTCACCCCACCTATACAGTTCTCCTGGACACAGCTTCAGCATTCACCACAGAGGTCCATTTTAGGGCCCGTTCTGTATTTATTTTATGTTCATGACTTCCCTAGGGCTCACATTGGCAGAAATTACTTTCTTGGGTGCTATGCGGACGATACGGCATTAGCCGTAAAGTCCGCAAACTATGCAATCAAGAAATTAAAGTAGCTTCTACCACTGGTAGAAAAGTGGTGTACTACTTGGAGAATTGCTATTAATGCCAGCAAGTCGCAATTATTATTGATAAGGAGGAAAAATACACAGTTGACTATTAATAGCAAGCTCTTCTTATTCTCTGAAGAGATTCCTAGAGTTAGTAAGGCGAAATATTTAGGATTAATGCTAAATGAAAGATTAAAATGGGGAGATCATATAACAGAAGTCAGAAGAAAAATTTTCACTGTTGTAACTAGTCTCATCCCTATATTGGGTAATTATTCTAGCTTAGACCTCAGGAAAAAGAGGCTAGTTTATATCACGGCAATTAGGCCATTGATGACTTATGTGTCGCCGGCCTGGTGCACGGCTACCAAGGAGGATATAAAAAGACTTCAAATCAATGCAAAACAAAGTCTTAAGGCTTTATCACCCATGCTCACATTTTTGTGAGCAATGCTACACTTGCACTGTGACTTAAAACTGGACACTCTAGAAGAGCACCTGAATAAGATCAACAGGAAATTCTTCACGAAAGCTCTGAACTGTGACCATATGAGAAATTTTGATATCTTTACCTACGAAATATTGAATGAGACGCCAAACTGCGCCCACTTGCGGCCCACCTTATCAGGGACCCGAACTTTCAGGGACCAAACCACCTAGTGCCCACCTGTAAATAATGTACCCAATGTGTTTATTAGCATTCTTAATTTTGAATCTTACTCATTTATTGTACTGTGTATTTCTTAAATTCACTAGTTTTATTCACATTCTACACTCATTTTATGACTCCCATTTAGTCACGCCTTTACCGGGCCGGTTACTTGCTAGTGAGCTCTTGCGTTGCTGGTCTTCCTATTCTTTATCCGTCTTTCTCCTCCTTACTGCGGACATTATCTGAAGATAGTTCTATGTTATTGTGCCCATCCGGCATAAATTTGATTGAGCCAGAACTACTGATCTCAGTGGTATTCTGGCTATAAGTTATCAGTCAGTCAGTCAGTTCAGCATTCATTCTACCTCAAGCGCCTCCAGTGGCACCTACCTTACGATAGTGGCCTCCAGTGGCACCTACCGTACGATCGACTCGGCTATTATTGTCGGCATATAGCGGAGCCTGGAACCTGGAACTTTCGTAGAAGAGCTTAGAAATACTTAGTAGAGTTTGTTCGGTCTTCTGGCCACGTCATTACTTTAAGCCGAATCTTGCTACGTTGGCTTAAAGCAACGACGGTTGTTTTAAGCCAAACGGAGCAACGTTATTTGGCTGTTACACGCCTGTCAGTATTTGCCGGTAATGTTTAATTAAGGACCAACTCTATTAGTTACATCTGTGCTGCTTCAGTTAGTCTTAGTTAGTTAGCACTAGTTTAGTTTCTTATTTTCTATCTTAAGTTAAAGCCCAAGCGGAGACTTTAATAAAAGCCCAAGAGGGAGGAACTGTAAATATTCTTTAATTAAATAAAAGTGTATTTTAACTCTTCTTTAGACTTGTTACTCTAGCCTTTTGTTGCCACAGACAATCAATTTAACTAGAATCTTATAATATAAAGGCAACTCTCATTGTTTAAAAATGAGTAACCTTCGCTGGAGAAAATTTAAGGAATCTTATAGATAAATGCTTTTATACTGTATTCATAGAAATTCATTCCTGTCTGCATCCTCTATTAAAATATATTTACTCGCATATTTTCCTCGTTAGCTTTTTAGCACAGAGTTCTGAATTTTTTTAAGTATTCACTTGAATTTCCCCTTCTTGGAGACGTTCAGCGACCTTCATTAAATTTTAAAATTGTATACACAGAGTTCTGAATTTTTTTAAGTATTCACTTGTATTTCCTCTTCTTGGAGACGTTCAGCGACCTTCATTAAATTTTAAAATTGTATACACAGAGTTCTGAATTTTTTTAAGTATTCACTTGAATTTCCTCTTCTTCGAGACGTTCAGCGACCTTCATTAAATTTTAAAATTGTATACACAGAGTTCTGAATTTTTTTAAGTATTCACTTGAATTTCCCCTTCTTCGAGACGTTCAGCGACCTTCATTAAATTTTAAAATTGTATACATTCGTTCATATGATAGTTGATTTACTTTAGGATTTGGGTATGAGGAAGCAATAATAATGAAACATTTCAAAAAACAGGGATACCTAATTTTTTTAATTTTGATTATCATTGCACGTGTATAGACAGACAAACAGATGGCAAGCATTTGCACGCTGCAACAGACGACATAGGCAGCAGTTCCAATAGCGTTAAATAATTTGAGGCCAGTGGTCAACAATAATAATATTCAAAATTCAAAACATAGAAAGTAGAAAGTAAGATATATTATTAGATACTATAAAGTTAACATTCTTATTGGAATGCAGGTTTATTTTAATTAAATAATATTGTAACCCTTACTGGTAGTTTGTTTATCCATGAATACATTTTGTATGTTCTTTCTTACTGTAACCGCATTCTTCAGAAATTAAATTATTCGCTTAATTTTCCCTAGTCAGTTTACGTGCAATAAAATTAGTAAAAAAAGAAGAAAAATATGCTAGTAAATATGGTAACATTAAAGCATCCGAGATGTGGGCATCATAGTAAATATAAAAGATAATTGTAAGTGTGTAATATGTGTATATAATTTTCATTGCGGCCAACCAGCGATCACGTACAGAAAATAAATAAATACTAGGTGTTGAAGCAGGGTTTAGTTTCCGACGAAATAGTTTGGCTGTCCCATGTATAATATGATTACAAGATTTTCTCTTAGAAAGCTCTCCACAAAGGCATCTGTTAAGTTTCAAAATCTTTTGGTACCTTATTTTATTCTTATCTGTTGGTGGCGCTGTCATCGTCCCAGATGTTTTAGTGCTTTGTATTTTCAATTTTGTTTTCTGTTTGTGGTAATAGATTTAAAAAAAACCAAACGACTAGAACTCAATGTTCCATGAAGATATCAACATATAAAAAATTCTGATAGTGTGTAAAGTCAAAATCTTATTTAATTTTGTATCCTTATTTATCGTGTCAAACGTTAAGTGCTTCCAGGTAACTGTAAGTTTATGAAAATTCAAGGCAAGCTATTTAATAATTATTAATTATTGAACTTGGCATCCTCCAGCAACCATCTTTAGGTAGTTTTCCGTAATCTAATATCCGAATTCAAATTTGTATTATATTTTGTAGCAAAATATATGTAATTCATATAATATTTTTTAAAATAATGGAATATATATATATGTAATTCTTTTATATTTTTACATCTAATACAATGTATGTAATTTAGATAATGTGGCTGCATCTCTTTTGCTTATATATTGCTATATATGAACATAAATATTACTCAAGTTAATATACTTACTATTACAAGAATCTAGTCTTTGAGGAGGGATTAAACTAGCAAAGCTTTTAAACTGAAAAAAATGGATGAGCTTGAATGCATTTTATGAAACTATTTTTGAAGCATTTTCCTACCGAAATATATTTTCAAGTGAGATTTTCCGTGATACGTACTATTACATTTTTTCCTTACGTTGCGTTTTAAAGTTATAACTATGAGCAACGATCTGTTTTCTCTCCTTCCTTCTTCATTCCACCAAAAATAAAAATACTTTTCCTAAAATCATTAACGAGAAATCAAATACGAAGCACAGCTATATAGAATAGATTTCACTGAAATATAATGACGATCATGAATTTTATTGTTTTAAAATTATCAAAGATAAATAAAAATGTTTTAAAGCTTGTTTGAATAGCCTTAGATAATATCTAGTCTTAGGCTATTATACGAGGGCTATTTTTTTTTCAACCTCCGATGGGCTATAAAGAAAAAACGGGTGAATATACAAAAAAGATTTTATTACCAAAAGTAATGTACAATACAGGTTACTTCTCTACATAATCACCTTGACGATTGAGGCATTTGTCATATCTGTGATGTGGTGTATTTAATTATGGCAAAGCACACTAGGGCTATCTGCCTAAGGGGAGGGATGCCTTTCGTGGAGGACTTTCTAAGGGAAACTGGCTCGTATACACGTTACACATGGAGAAAACCACGAAAACGCCCATGCAGCCAGCCCGTTCGT